TTAGAAATCTGGCGAGATACGGGACAATGGACAGTCTGTAAGCTTCAGTGCGTGTCTTTATAAGTTTTCCAGTGGAACGGGTGGATGAGTGAGAAAGGCACAGACTACGGGCGGAATAAAGAGGATGGGAAATATCAGATAAAATCTTGTTGGAGAATATTTTACAGGACTTGAGGTGATGTGTCATCACATACTGCACGAGATTTTCCTGTGGGCTGAGACTGCAAACTGACAGAAATTTGAGGGATCGGGAAATGAGTTTGTTAAAAAGACCAGGGAGGATAACAGGGGACCCACAAAGCCAGTGAGGCAAAACGCACGCAAAAACAAAACGCCTTATGAGGTGAGATGGTTTTGGATAGAAAGTGAGTTAAGACGTCAAATATAAAACGTGAGTCTCCTGACCTTCAGAGAAACGTCATTAACGTGGTCAGACCAAGTTAGGTTATGCCAAGGTATTTGACAGACGGTTGTCGTTCCATCTGGTTAGTGCCTTTCTCACTCATCCACCTGTTCCTACGGAATGTTCCAATCACAAACTTTTAAAGACTCGCACTAAAGCTTACAGGTGGTCTATTGTCCCTTATCTCACCAGATTTCTAACAAACCATGGACTTGCTGCAGGAAATCTGCGCCAAATATTCAACGAAATCCATTCTATACACTCGCGCATGCCATTGATTTTGATGTTGCTGTTCTTTTTCACGTCTTTTAATTGCGGTTGTTGTTTATTCCACTTTTCGTTGACACACGGTGGTTATGTGGTCGCTGAATATCCACCTCTCGAGCTGCATAAAGCCATTCCTTGATTTGACTTGACTTGAGGATAGATAAAGGTGGGCTGGTATTTGATAATTCATCATAATTTGCCTTTTAAGAGGAAAAAATTACGTCACTACATTTTTGGGGGCTCATGTGAAGGTTCCTTTGTTGAAACCAATCAACTATTTCTCACACGTCTTCTTTTAGAGTGGTTTGAAATGATGAGTTGGGGTAGGGCAGTCCGAATATCATATCGTCTGCATACTTAACGAGAAGAGAGGAATTGCTCACAGGCATAGAGGAAGTGTAAACAGAAAATAGAAAAGAGGATAAAATAACGCCTTGTAGTACGCCTTGTGAGGAGGGCAGCAGTGAAGATCTATGACCTTTGTAGCGTGTGAACTGCTGACGGTTGGAGAAATAGTTGGCAAAGAGTTCAATCGTAGAAGGCTGAACCCCGCCAGAAGAGAGGGTATGTAGCAAAATTTGTCGATCAATTGTGTTAAAACCATTACTTTAGTCAAGAAAACATGCGCACAGCCTTGCTTTTCTAATCCAGGTCGGATAAAACAAAGTGAGACAGGTACTCAAGGGTATCCAGGGTACCGCGGAAATGGGTGTATGCAAATTGGTTCGGTTCATCAACATTGAATTGTGTGGACAGGGTCTTAATGAGGAGCCTCTAAAACACCTTCAAAACAACTGAGGTGTATGTAGGCAATGGAACGGAATTTTGAGGATCCTTTCTCCCATACAGGGGTAATAGAGGCTATTCTCTAACAGTCAGGTAAGCGTTGTTGCGAAATGTAATCATTGAAAATTGCACTCAGTACAGGGGAAAGGAGGGCAACACATTCTTTCAGGACAACGAGTGAGTCTCCGTCGGGGCCGCAGGACTTGTGAGGATTTAATCGAGCCAACTCTTGATAAATATCGACAGGTGCAATGCTGGAGACGGGATCAGTGGTGGTTTATTTCATATCCATTAGGTAGAGCAGTGAGAGCGGTTCCACCGTTGATGAAACTCCGATTCAGGCCATCTATGTCTACCGCAGCAGGTGTGAGGATTTGATGCCAGAAATTCGAATGAGGGCTGCCAGGTGTCATGACTACCTTTGTTTTCAAGCCGAGCACGGGCGAATAAAGAGTTTAGCCTTCGAAGTTCAGCCCAGATGGATTTAGAAAGGGAGCGCACTTCTTCGCGCTTATGCATTTTGAAGGCACTCTCCTTTCTACGACGGAGTTGTTTTAGGTGTGGGGAAGAGAATCGATCGGGGTGAATATAAATTGTCTCCGAGGGACAACAACCATTGTAACAAAGGTTTAAATAGCTTGTTAATTGATCACAGAAAACGGAAGGTTTGGGATCAGAAAACAAAGGAAGGTTGGATTGTCTGATCATTTCCCTTAACCTCGTGAGGTTTTCTGGAGAATGCTGTCTTACTTGAAGCTTGTGATCACGACTTCGAGTAAAGAGACAATGGTTCGTTCTGCTAAAGATGGTAGGGGAAACTGTAACATAGAATGATCAGACATTCTCGGTGGAGGGTGGAGTTCTACAAGAAGTAAATTGAGAAGGTTGATGAAACCCAAATCCAGATGTGCATCAAGCCTAGTGGAGAGGTAACAATGTTTTGAAGACCTAAGGTGGTTAAGAAACGGGTATCGGAATTATTGAAGTTACTACAAATGATACCGACTGAATGTTACGTAGCAAAATTGTTGTTTTGCACCGCGTTTATCCGTTGCCTGCTATTAGATCGCACCACACTATTTCACAGGTGTAAAGAACACAAGATATAGCACAGTAACACTAGTGCACATGGGAACAGCGCCTAACACTGAGTTCGTGAGCGGATGATATTTTTAGGAGCGGAAGCTACCTAGGCGAAACACAGGACGCACGGTCGGTTATCAATCTCTCAGGCCTCCCAAAAACACGAGAGAGAAAACAGGGCTTCAGCAGCACGGAATTTTAATGGCTTTAAGCACAAGTCACAAGTCACGAGTCAATTTACAAGTTTTACTCTGCTGCTTATATGTGACTGAAAATAACATTGATCAATGCAAGAAGACAAGTGTAGCAATGAGATATACAGTGAGCAATCTTCAACGGGCCATAGACTGCGGACCAAACAGACGGACTGAGTGAATATTGGCGTACAACGCAATATTATTGATTTATCTCCGCGAGATTAGTATTGATTCGCGATGACACCAATTCCGGTCGAATGTGTTGTAAAGTTGTTTTATTTTGTTCTCAGAATTAGCAAGTGTGCAGGCGGGTTTATCTTGGGACGAATGGCATTTATCTTCGTACCAACACTGAAGTATCTACATATTCAATCCGTGTAATTGAAAGAGAGTCATAAAAATCATTAACAACATTAGATGAGCAAGAGGGGGCTATATACACATTTACAAGAATAAGTGATCGAGAAAAGCTGCAATGTCTGGGATTACATTGAATTGCTGATGCATTTATATAACATGTGGAATAGGAAAACACATTTTTGGTCTGATGATACCACTGATTTTTGACAAACGTGATGATGCCACCTCCTCGTCGGGAATAAGGAACAGGATGATCGACACGATAGCTAGCGAATCCATCCAGGTGTATTATTTCATTCCCAATTTCATTATGGAGCCAACTTTCTTGTAGCATGATCACACCTAGTTGGGTCGATTCCTGTAGCACGATTAAGCTGGTGAGATCAGCCATATTGTCGATAAGAGATCGGACGTTAGAATTGAGAATGATGGGGACACACAAGCGGGAGATGGTTTGTTTCCGAAGGGCAACTTTCCGACCGGCTCGATGCTTCCTCGGATTTTTCGATAGCTTCCTGAACGTCCTTTTGATTTTATTCCTTATAGTCCTCCCAAAACAGGTTGTAGCTACACATTTGCTCCATTCGATTGAATGCATGAAGTCTCGAGTGTATTTGATCAAATTTGTCATTACTGTAGTCGCATAACAGTCGCCTTGGTAACCAAGGTAAAAGTTCATGCGATTAATGCGAATAAAATCTCAGATAGTTGTGGTTATGCAGTGAATAATCCGATGATGGAAAAAAACGGATAGCGCGACCGAAATTCGAAG